GTGGATCAAGCACTCTACAGGAGAGGTTAGATACATCGAAGGGCCTGGCGAAGGGGCTTCCTGGACCCCAGAGGAGCTGCCTCGTAGATTACCGAGCTCATCATTCTACGCAGCTATGCAGCGTATCGGGATCAGCTACGGTCCTGAGTTCCAAGCTCTTACGGATATCTCTACCTCTACCATTGAGCATGCCGCCCAGGCCAAGATAGTTGACAAGCATAACCATGTGTCCGCGCCATTCTCCCTCCATCCGGTAGTAATCGATGGGTGCTTACAGTCGCTCCTGGTTGCCATGAGGAAGGGACTTTGTCGCAACTTCGACGGCCTATTTGTACCTGTTTCTATCGATGAGCTTGTCGTATATCGGGGAGCATCGGAGATCCACGTCCGTGCCTGGACGGAGAAAGGAGATCTTAGGCTTGGCCAGGCCGAGTGCGTCGCAGACGGGAGGTTAGCGCTGCGGATGCGCGGTCTCAAACTGGCACCCCTCGAGGATGACAACCCGGCTATAAATTCCATCGACCAACACGCCGCAGCTCGTATCTACTGGCTTCCAGACTTTGACTTCGCGGATCACAAGGCATTATTCTCAGCACCCAAGCCCGACCGCGATCAGCTTGTCCTACAGCAGGAGCTCTCGTTTCTTTGTATGATCCAGGAGGTAAAGGCGGTGGAAGGCCTCGATCCGTGCCAACCTCACTTCGCCAAGCTACGCGACTGGATGAAGAAAGGGATCGAAGATGCAGCCACTGGGAAAGAAGAGTTTCCTCTAGTCGAGAATGCAGCACGTCTATTAAAGCTAAGCCTTGAAGAGCAGCAAAATACGATCAAATCTCACCTTAGCATCCTAGAGAAAGGGGATCACCGCGCCCTTTCCCTCGGGACTAAGCGCGTGTGTGACTACGCAGCGGAGATTTTTACGGGATCGCGGGAAACTCTCGACGTACTCATAGAAGGAAACCTCCTATCCGAGATCTACAACCGTGCTAGCTTTGGATATGGTAACTTTGTGCGCCTACTTGGAAACACGCGGCCGAATTTGCGGATCCTAGAAGTCGGCGCCGGTACAGGCGGAACTACAGAACTTATCCTACGCGATCTCGTCGACGAAGGCGGGTTCCCCTCTTATTCGGTATACACGTTCACCGACGTCTCGTCCGGTTTTTTGGTGAAGGCGCGGGAACGCTTCTCGTACGCACCTAACATGGAGTATAAAGTATTTGACATCAGCAAGTCGCCGTTCGAGCAGGGGTTCGAGGGCGGAGAAAAGGGGTCATACGACTTAATCCTGGCTGCAAATGTTGTTCATGCAACTCCAGTTATTAAGGAGTCACTTAAGAACATAAAGTCTCTACTGAAACCTGACGGGATGCTGGTTCTAACAGAGCTTTTGCCCACATTGCGCACGGCAAATTACGCGTTCGGCCATTTCGCGGGCTGGTGGCTAGGCGAAGCTGATGGCAGACCTACGACTCCTTTAGTGCCTATTGATCGATGGGATGACGAACTGAAGGCCGCAGGATTTACGGGCGTAGACTCGGTCGTGTTTGACGATGAAGATCCCTATAGCCAAATCCTCACAATCGTATCGCGGCCGCAGACCAAAAGCGTGCCACCCGTTAAGAAGGTTACACTGCTATGCGATGACAAGGAATCGGACGTAGCGCGTACTCTTAAGACATCTATAAAGAATTTAGGATGGGAGGTCACGCCGCGCCGACTGGGCTCGAAACCTCTACCAGATGAAGACATCATATCGTGCCTGAACCTTGAGAGCGACTGGTTCGTCAACCTAACTCCAGAAACATTCGCCAAGTTCCAGACATATGCAAAAGCTCTAGAGCACCGGAAGATCCTTTGGCTCACGCCTCCAGTCCAGATTCGATGCAAAGACCCCCGGCCGGCAACATTCCTCGGCATGGCCCGTACTTTACGAGCTGAGCGAGTGCCAGGACTCTGCACTCTTGAAATAGAGCCTAGCGAGCCGCGCTTTGCAGACATAGTTCTAGATGTATTCAATAAGGTCCGCACCCAAGAGGATGTTGGTACGCTGGCTCCCGACCGCGAATTCGTTGTCGAGAACTCCCAGATCTGCATCCCTAGATATCGTCCTTTCTCCTTACTTAATAAGCTAAAAGAGAAACAAGAAAGCCGTGGTCGTGAAGAGGGGTCGCAAGCCATACCTATAAGGACGGCTCTAGCGATCTCTAAGATAGGATCTATGGAGACGCTACACTGGATCGACGAACCGCTACCGTTGGAACTACCAGCCGATTATGTCGAGATTGAGACGCGAGCCGTTGGTCTAAACTTCCGCGACGTTGTCCTGGCGAGAGGTATCATCGATTCTTCCACGCCAGGTCGCCTCCCTCTGGGATACGAGTTATCAGGTATCATCAGCAAAGTAGGCTCGGCCGTTAAAGATCTCACTCCCGGAGATAGGATCATGGCCCTTTGCAACGGCTGTCTCGGTACAAGAAACGTAGCACCAGCCGACATCGTCATGAAGATCCCCGACGGTCTCACTTTCGAAGACGCTGCTTCTATTCCCGTGTGCTTCGGGACAGTAATCTACAGTTTTATCGATGTCGGTCGATTAGAAAAGGGCCAAAGCGTTTTGATTCACTCAGCTTGTGGTGGTGTCGGTCTCTCGGCGATCCAAGTAGCTAAAATGCTCGGGGCTGAGATATACGCGACTGTGGGCAGCGAGAAGAAGGTCCAGTACCTCGTGAATAACTTTGGGATTCCACGTTCGCATATCTTCAACTCTCGGGACGCGTCGTTTGCAGAGGGTATTATGAAAGAGACAGATGGTCGAGGCGTTGACTTAGTCCTAAACTCGCTATCGGGCGAGCTGCTGCACGAGTCGTGGCGGTGTGTTGCTAAGTTCGGTGTTATGGTCGATCTTAGCTTGCGAGACTCTAAGGGGTCTGGTCGCCTGGATATGCTTCCTTTTGCTGACAATCGTTCTTACTACGGCGTAAACCTGTCCGACTTTAGAGAGAGGCCTAAGTGGCTGAGGAGGTAAGTTTTCTAAAAAGGAGGCTATTCCTTAATAGCTAGCCTCCGTGCTCACTTCCTAGATTGTCACTGATGGTGTACTAACAAATTATCAGATTATTGACCGCTTTCGTCGACTTCTATAAGCAAGGCCATCTCCGCCCAATTGATCCCATTGTGAGCTTCGATGCGAAGCAAATCGCGAGGGCATTCCGCCACCTCGAAGATGGCGATCATATGGGCAAGATCGTAGTGACCTTCCCTCCCCCTAACCTAAGTACACCAATCGAGTCGCTACCTCAACGTCGTAGTATCGAATTCGATCCCACTGCGACTTACCTCCTCGTAGGCGGTGTCGGCGGCCTAGGTAGATCTATTGCAATATGGATGGTTGAGCGAGGCGCACGAAGTTTGATATTCCTTTCGCGCAGCGCAGGCCGGAGCGATGTTAGCAAGGCCTTGTTCCGCGAGATAGAGTCTATGGGATGTTCGGTGACAGCAGTTGCCGGACGTGTTGATCAGATCGGTGACGTACAAGAAGCGATCCGCCAAGCGAAGTCACCTATTAAAGGAATGATACAGTTGGCCATGGTCCTAAGGGTAAGAGCCCCTTTATAACATCGGGCTAAACATTCGATACTAACCGAAATACACCAGGACGTCCCAGTAGTAGACATGGAATGGTTTCAATGGAAAGATGCCCTTGCACCTAAGGTCGAGGGCACCTGGAATTTGCACCACGCACTTCGATCGAATAATCTAGATTTCTTCTTCCTAGCCAGCTCAATCATGGCCGTGGTTGACTCTCTCGGACAAGGAAATTATGCGGCAGCTAATACGTTTATGGAGGCTTTCTGTCGCTACCGCCACTCCCTAGGGCTACCAGCTTCAGTTCTCAACATCGCTGCTATAGGTGATATTGGGTTCGTAGCTGAAAACTCACACGCGATGAAAAATATCAAGGCTCAAGGCATATGCCTACTCGGCGAGCGCGAATTCTTAGACTTTCTAGAGCTCAGTCTCATGAATAATTCCCCGGCGGACCAAGACGCCGCTGGGCCGCTGGCCGTTCCGCCTACACCATGGAGTAGCGAAGCTCAGATGGTGATGGGCATACGGTCGGATCAGGCCCTAGACGACCCAAACAACCGAACAATGTGGCGGCGCGACAGGCGCATGGGTATCTACCACAATGTACGGATTGAGAACACAGCGAAGAGCACCGATAACGATGCTCTTCAGAAATTCCTCAAACAAGTCGCAGCTGCCGGTGTGGGAGGAAAAGCGCTATTAAAAGACAAGAGCAGTATCGAGTTCCTAGGAAATGAGATTGGCAAGAAGATATACGATTTCCTTCTCAGGCCAGACGAGGAGGTGGACATCAATCTAACGCTAGCACAGATGGGCCTCGACTCGCTAATGGCTATCGAGCTGAGACGGTGGTTTAAGGGCGCATTCGGGCTCACGTTGGGTGTGCTGGAAATAGTCGGCAGTGGAACGCTCCACCAGCTTGCGGAACTCGTCGCAGCCAAATTGCTCGAGAGGCTCGAAAGCGAGTCCCAAAAAACTGCGTAAATGTGTAGTTTCTAGGTTCATCCCCGATTTAAAATCCTCGAAGGGGGATCGTATTACAAGACTTTAACTAAACCGATATATACCGGTTTATAAACATAAGACATATTAATGTTGGATTAGATAATACTTAATAAATTCAAGTATCTTATATCGTATCTTCAAAGACTTCGGGGACTGGAATGTTGAGTAGTAGGTGTTGGACGAAGGGTTTGATAACGGTATTGAATAGAGTTGAGTGTGTTTGCTTCACTTTATCAAACAGAACGGCGGGGTATAGAAATCTCCTCATCATCTCTGTACTACATCCCACCGCCACAGCCTCTGACCTCCACGCCAATCTGCCCAAAGCGCCTCAGCTTCTCGACCGACCCAATCAACCTATTCATCCTTCTCCTTTCCCTCCTCTAAAAGACAGCAGACAAGCCTCAACGATACTCTATCCAAGCACCGAGCAGACCAGTAGCCATGAAGGCAACGAATATCTTGCTCTGGGGGAAACCCGGGCCGCCAAACTCGGGATCAACACCCATGGTGCCGGGAGGCAGGATGCTGAGGAGTCCCGCGATCCAATAGATAGACCCCGTGATGGCGCTGATGAAGATAAACTCGCGGCGCAGCTCGGGCGTCTTCGCCCGCCGCCACGTATAGTAGAGCGTCAGCCCGGACAGGATTATGGCGAGGAAGACTGTCTGAGCGTTGTGGAATCTAGTTACACAGGTTAGATAAACAACATCTTAGCTATTGTGCTTATGCTAGACTTGCTTAGCATGCGGCCGCCACCGTGGATTAAACATGTGCGTCTCATTGAGGCAATCAGCCACGATGGTGCCAACGCACATGCCGAGGGCATCGATAGTTAGCAGCAGCCGGCCCAACATACTGATTGCTATATGTACCGTAAAGATAAAAATAGAAATAAAAGCAGAACTACCTGCCTGCCGATGTTTAGGATATGAATAATAAGTATATTATTCAGCCCAGGAATGAAAAAGCGATTACTTTTGCTAGTAACTTTATATCAAAAGCAATATGTCGATATGATGACTTATATACATAGGTTAGGTACGTTAGGAGGTACGATATAAGGATACCTGCTATACATGATACATCACTATCCCATACTTTATGTACATGTGTAACGTCATTGTCCTACCTATTAATCATCAATCTAACTATTACCAGAGAACAGTGCCCGCTTTACAGAGCAAGATAGCACCGAGAAAATCGAAGTTAAAGTTATTTTCAGAAAAGCAAACAGGTGGCTAGCTCCAGCTGATTACCTAATAAGCTGCTTACTGTATACTACCCAAGCTCAACTCGGAGCTTCGGTCTTTCGCTCCTTCGCTCCAATTCACTAAGTGTAGTTCGCATATTCCCTTCACGATTGAAAGCCGTCGTAATCGCGAAGTTGTGTATTATATTTCAAAAGTGCAAGGGGCTATCCTACATCTAATTCCTTATCCGAATCACAAGTCAAATTCGCTATTCTAATCATTGTCCGTGGCACGATCGATATTGTACAAGAGTCGTAGAAGTCCCGACGCTGCTATTGTTCATAAGTACAAGAAATGCAACGAGCCTTTTTTCGTAGCCTGGTAATAACAGGCCTGCCTAACTGCTCATATGTCCACTGCTATGTGCATCATCCTGATGAATCCTCATGAATTATAGCCATGCCTAGCAACCAGCCAAAACCTCAAACCAGATCCGAACCCCTCGAGTCTAATGAATATAAGATGCGAAGGATATATACTAATGCAGCATCTCATCCTCGTATGCCATCGCTCCTAAACACCATGTCGTGATCTGATCTAACTTAAAATGACTCTTAATGACCGTTAGGTACATTGTCCTCAGCTTCAGCCGCGATAGCCGAGTACTGACCGCCAGCACCAGCCCATACAATTCGTCTATCACGAATGGCGGTGTTGTCGATCACGGTCGGAACTTCAATGTCGTCGGTGGTTCCTTGGCCAGCTTGGTAATTCGCCGAGAAACCCCATGAGTAAACCTTGCCTGCCTCATCTATGGCGAAACTGGTATCTGTACCAGCAGCAACAAAGGTAGCTTTAATTCCTATAATGCTTATTAGAATACACCGATTGTTAGACATAAAATATAGGAGAAAACGTACCATCATAGGCAGTAGGCTCCAAGAGAATTCGGGGTTTCTTGTTATCATCGAAAACGGTATTTTCCTCGTTGTATAGACTGGACGGCTGTCCGACTTGGTGGCCATCCACACGGCCCCAGGTGAGTAGCTTTCCTTCAGTCGTACAAGCAACCGAATGGTGTTCTCCGCCCACGACCTGGCTGACCTTGTAGTCCTCAAGTGATGTAACAACTTGAGGCTGGAGAACCATGGCATCGTCTTCGCCGGTATGTTCCCTAAGGCCGGTCTGTGCGTAATTGTTCAGGCCCCAGGCCCACACCTGATCTTCACTGTCGATGTAGAAACTGTGATACGAACCAGCGCCCACGCTAACGGCACGATGTTTCTTAGTGAATCTTCCACATGGCTGCGGAGTAAGTCCAACACCCGGACCTGCGAGACGGGAGATCAGTTTCCTGCCAAGCTGGAATTGGCCTCCACTACCCCAGGTGAACACTTTGCCGGACAAATCCAAAGCCAAGACGTGATTCGAACCACAAGCTAGTCTAGTGATGTTCTTCAATTCAGGGACGAGCGCAGGTGTTTCTTGGATTCGCGTGTGTTCGCTGAATCCGATGATACCATCAGAACCTCTAAAAGTACCCCAGCCGTAGACCCAACCGTCGTCTGTGAGGATGAAAGAGGCAGAGTCGCTAGCCGCAACCTGGGCAATTTTGGTGCCTTCAGGTAGTATACTGAGATCAACTTGTCCAGGAGTGCTTTCTTTAGGGTTAACGCCGGTGTCCTCATCATCTTCCGAGTCGTCCTCGTCGTCAACGTCGCGAGTACCGCCTTCCCAGAAAGTATCGCGACCGAGCGCTCTATCATCGTTGACACCCCATGTGAGGATAGTCTGATCATGGGTCAGGGCAATACAGTGCATACCTCCACAAGCTATAGCGACAACGCCCTTGAGGTTGTGGTTAATTCGAGGTCGCTTTACATCGATGGGTTTTTTTCCATCATGTTTCTTACTACCGAGACCAAGTTCGCCCGATGACCCTTCGCCAAAGACAAAAACATCTAACTGTTTAGTAGGCACCTCATTAAAAGGCACACCTCTTGCACCAGGCCCTCTCGTACGCGGGCGCGGCGCGACCTTCTTGGGGGCAGTCTTGGGAGCGCTTCCGATATCGTGAGATTTCGCTGATATAGGTACTGGCTTGGGTTCTTCGGCTTTGAGCTTTCTGATCTTCTTGGGTGCAGCTCGACTACCGCGAGGCTTCTTTTGCTTGGGCGCTTCCTCGGGTTCTTCGTCTTCATCTTCGTCTTCATCTTCATCCTCGACTTCTTCTCTCTTGCGCTTAGAAGCGCGCGATCCACTCGACTCGGAGGCAGATTGGCCGCGTTGGCGAGTAGCCTCGCGATCAAGGTTAAGTTGCCTAGGACGAGCCTTTGCGGTCGCGTTGGTCTTTCCAGAACCACTCTTTACTGTCGAAGCAACTCGTCTTTGAGCCGGAGCCGCAGGGGCTGCAGGGGGTTTAGTAATACGGGTGACGCGACCAGTAGCCCTCTTCGGTGCACGTCGGGTAGGTTCGGTCTGTTTCTTCGTCTTTTCCTCCTCCTCGTCATGATCATCGTCATTCTGCTCTTGCTCTTCATTCACATCCTGCTCTTTCTCCTTATCTTCATTCTGCTCTGGCTCTGGCTCCTCATCTTTTTCGCCATCATCGCTTTTGTTGTGGATATTTTGCTTCACCACACCGCGACCATTTCTGCCCTTAGTAGGGGCTCCCCTAGTCGCAGAAGACCTTTTGCTCAACGGTTTGGTACCCGCTGGCGCCGAGGCGAGTCTTCTCGGAGGCATTGTGTGTCGCGTCTGCAAGTCGCGTAGACACTGGTGCGAAAAATAGTGATAGTATGATAGTAGGGAGAAAGTAAACGATTAGCAGTCTCTATGCGCGACTTCTAAGGACACTGCCGTCGAGAGGTGCGCGATGCTAAATAGTATAGGGTATGATGTTTAAGTGTGAATAAAGTATTGAGTAAGGTGTAGAGTGAAATGTTGGTGAGGCGTGTGAATGATTTGAGAGCTTGCTGATTGTGGTGCGCAAGTAACGCAACTATCGCGTCTTGCTGACAAGTCAGACAAGACGTGGTCCTGGTGAGATTTTGGAATGTCACAAAACACGAAGGCCAGGACTAGAGTAATAGTCAATGGACGAAAAAATAGGATCTCTTCTTTGTTAGATTCGAGAACAATTGGGAAAGAAGTGCTCGAGGTAAAGAAGGATGAATGCTTTCGGTGGTGAAATAGAAAGAAAAACGCGCTGGTGGAAATTTTTAGGTGAAAAAGCTGTGCTCAACTGCCCAAGGCCGCATGCAGCAAACTGATGTAACTGCGTATTCACCAAAACAGTGGGAAGTCGCGCGTTCTGGATCCACAATAGCTTTTTAGCTTCTTAAGTGGATTGGAAGGTACACGCAGCTGGAAGCTCCAACCCAATCAAGTTATTGTTCAGGAAAGTGCAAGCAGGTAACTTCCTCACCGCCCGGGTACCTAGGCTGCTAGGCTTCTGTAATCCTTGCAGTCTGAAGATTTGTCCGGCAGAAAAATGGCGATAAGGGGGGAATCCCTTTTACCCTAGTACATGCCAATCAATTTTATCATGTACGTACTTTGGAAAATAAGATTAAAAATAAATAATAAATAAAAATAAAAGAAAGAAAAAAAAGAAGCCAATCATTTCTCAAGTTCGAACCGGTATACAAAGGCATTATTGTTTTTCCTTACAGTTGATCACAGAAACTACATCCAATCATAACTTCAAGCCTCTACAACATAGTCTCCTACATCCACAAATCGAAGTATTTCTATCGCCGATCCTGCATCATAGAGTCGCCTGTACATAGAAATGGCAAGGTAGATCTCACAAGCCTTAGATTGAAATACGAAAGATGATTATATTCCTAATACCAGCGACCTAACTCCAACACTCCAACACTCCGGCGACCATAACCTATAGAATCCTAGGTATCGAAGTTCTTTCACATAGCAGTATATGCCACCACAATTTTCATGATTTGCAACCAGTAGCGCCGCCTAGAAACCCGATCCCCCATAGTATTTTTCAGCCTCGTATGACCAATTATTTCTTCGTGGTAAAGTCGATTTCGTTCGGGTTTGAATCCGAAGTAGCGCGTTCGCAAGTACAGGAGCTGGCGGGGCGAGCACCACATTCGCAGGTGCTGCCAGCAATGGGACTGTTCTCCTTGGACGCATTCTCGCAGGTACATTGACCGGCAGGGCGAGCTCGGCACGAGCATCGGGCGCCACTTAGAGTATTCTCGAGCGGAGCCTTCTCGCACGTGCATTCGAGGGCGGATTTCTGACCGCAGGAACAGGTAGCCTGCTTAGCTGCGAACGGATATGTTAGCTCACTTTCTACGTCGGTTTGTATTCGATATGGGATAGGTCTCGAACTTACCACAGACACATTCGCCCCCAGTGTTCTTGCCGCAGCAGGTAGGTGTTGCCTTCAAAACTTCGGTTGCCATTATGACGGAAGAGTATGTGATGTAGACGAGGTAGACGAGGTAGACGAGGTAGTATGGCTGTTGGTATGTATGTGACTACTAAAGTGTTCTTAGATGATTTACTCTGAGGAAGCTGTGTCTATTGTTTGGAAACTATGGCAGGTAACAGGTCTTATATATGCGTGGTTGATGTTTTATCTTTGTAGTTGAGAACTCAACACTGTTGCTATCAATATAAGGCTGCCACTGACATCACTAGGCGAACTTCGTTGGAGGGATAGGTAATCATATCTCCTCTGATTGGTCAACATTTCTTCGGAGTAACGCTATCAACCAATGGTAACTTTTGTGATTACTTTCGCCAGGTTCTAGTTCGCCTAGTCGCCCGTGCTCAGGGGAGATCTAGACCGGAGGCTGACTCTAATGAGGCTGAATTTTCCAAACCTCGTCAGTTAGTGATGCTTGGATGGTCTGATTCAACCACCTAGTCACACTCTACATTACCAACTCGTGAATTACACCCTCTATTATTGGTTGTCTGTTAGGTTTGCTCTAGTTCTGTTTGCTAATAGGATAGATATCTTCCACTTTTCGCCCCGTACTTAGACTTTCATCAATAAATAAATAAAAATACCTCTATGTACTAAGTACCTTAGTAAGTTTTTAATATCTCAACCCCCTCATAGTCACGTTATTTGATATTTCAAGTGCCAAGGTTACCGTGCTTGTTAAGCCCGATGGAGGACTATTCTATTATACACGTTATAAACATGCTGGTAATATTTTATCATCAGGGACCCAGTAGGTAAGACATCAGGTTACATAAAACACACCAACTAAGGTCTTTTTGTTTTATGTATATTCATTGATTTGCCTCATAAAGACTTTAGTCGACTTAGGTATTGACTTGAAACCACCGTAAGACAAGTTTGCAGACTGTATCAATCTCTACTCCTAAGCCAGCTCAAGCAGTCCACTTTGTCAGTGATACTAGCGCGAAATCACTTCTACTGATTCATAATATTCCATCCGTCACTTGTTGTATTCACTAGCTTTCATGAGGTAACCCTAAGAAACATGGAAACAACTTGGTCATTCTAAAAGGAACTCTCGACCTAAGCTATGGAAACTAGTGACTAGGTACCTACCTTGAATATACTGAAGGCATCCATTACTTCAGATGTCTCATGTAGAACCCTGGCGCCAGCGGTGATGCAAACTAGGGGGGAAACGCCCACGTCTTAAATCTGACTCATATAATACATCTAGTTATAATACAGTATCAATTCTGAAAGTTAATGCAACTATAAGAATGGATCTTGGAAACCCGTTGTCCACAGCTGATTTCATTCATTAATTTAACGGAGTGAGTAAGCGCAAGCTCGTAGTTATATCTCTCCGTACGTAATGAAACCAGCAGGTTCCCTTGTTCTGGAACATCACATACTATTCGCATCTTCCTTAATGTCTAGACTGGGATCTAGACTGTGACACTTCATAATATGTAAAAGTAAGACCCAGCGACATAGCGATGCATATCTCACCAGACCCGGAGAATTATATTCTTTAATTGTATTTGGATGTATATAAAGTTTCCATCCGTCATATGGCAGTATCGTCATGTTCTAATTATGACAAAGCTAGACTGAAGCATTAGCTAGCCGAATGGATAGATAAATATGCTGTACAAGGACATTTGTTTGCAAGTGAAAGTAATAGACCAAGAATAGGGGACAAGCCGAATAGCAATTATACTTGCTATCATACCTATACAACAGGTAGTACAAGCTTGCAAGCAAGCCTCGTTGGAATTTGAGTCAACCTTATCTGCACCTGTTTCGGTTATAATAGGACTAAAATATCATTAGATCTTCATACGCAAAGGCATATTAGGAAACCATTAATGCATATGAAATATCTACCTATATAAACTCTATTTCGTTATATAAGTGAGATATTATAAATGTTCTGGAGACACTTTCTTTCGTGGGTTATTTACCTAGATTTGTCTCCTATACCTACATGTACTTAGCGGATCATGGGGGCAGAAGCGAAGCTGCGACTAATACTAAGGGACTCGAGTTCCCCAAAATGGATTCCCGGAAGGATTGCGGGCATCAGTACGTACTAATCGAAGCTGTTTAGCTTGAATTTACGCGAACTTTTCTTTTCATCTCTATGTATGCATCAGTCATCGCTTAACTTAGTCGGTTTACGTACGTGAAATTCGGTGCTCATAATCCGTAGGTTGAATATATTCATGTTAAGCTACACCATGGTTCTGCTACGAGAAAGCGCTTACGCTGTGTTTGACAGGCGAGGGGTTCTTCTCCTCGCACGAGATGCTTCAAGTGACTATAATAATTGGTATCTCTGCTTCGTTTTGCTGGATTAGCACGAGCAATGACTGGTCTTGGTGGGGTCTTAGGCGCTACTCTCGGATCGCCCCCGACGAATCCCACTTATTAGATCATAACGTCGCTAAAGAGATGATCTGTGTCGTGGGATATGGCGGTTAATTAATTTCATAGGGGGAATAGATAGTCAAATGATTAAAACTAGAGTTAAACGCTTTGATAATATATCTGATAACTAATGAGAGATTACAGTAATTCAGAGTTCTATAAGAACGTGCTGCAATTAGCTGAATATCACAGAAAAATGAACCAGTAATCTTCTACATATACAGTGGTTCTATAGGTGCCCGAATTTGCTAGAATGATGCCTGTGAGTCCGTGACAGGTCCCCTCATTTTCTTAGTGGCCTCCGGATCCGAATCTATCAGACACTCACCTCCGAGTGGTGTGGTTGGGGGCTAAGAAGGGATTATAGACGCCACAGGGCTACTGATCTATCTTATTGACAGGTCTACTTAGGTTCGCAGATAATCAAAGACATACATACAGTCGGTACTAGAGACGTACATGCGAAGGAATGGCGGTGTCGTAGCTTTTCTATACACCGTTTCTAATAATAAGAATATTCTTAGAATCTAATCGCGGGCGTTTTCGGTAAGAAACAGAGCAGTGCGACCCTAAAGAAACTAATTAATATAAATGGAACGTACAGATTTATCAAGATGCAGCCTGGGGTTGCGAGCTGTGTAAAATTTTGCCTTTTTGGCGTTTCTGTGCTCACCCAACACCAGCCAAGATATCGAAAAGAGCGAATAGTCTCGACCAACTCGTATCAGCAGTAAATAGTCTTACCGCATAGTAATACCCTGCATGATCCCTGCAAACCACGCCGACCTGCCATTGAACGATTGGACCATTTGCCACACCAAGACCGAAAAGACATACCATAAGTATGTTACACACATACATACGATGCGGGAGGATCATAAAGGGCATATCTTTCAGCCCCCATAAACATGATTGGTTAACTTGATAACTTGATTAGCTTGGTAAACCCAGCCGACTGGTCTTAGATCAGACATTGACAACCAGAAATGCCACTCAAGTATATGTACATTCTATAGTTCTCAAGGCTCCTCAATTCGACGGGTTGCAGGTTGCATTTGGACAAGGCCGTCACGATTGCATATGCAGGTCAGCCAATCCGCCAATGCTACTTGGTGTCTAGGGGCTATGCAAATCCGGTTTTCGTATTGGGCTCTTAGACACATACACTACTACCCTCTGACATCCCACGATACGCCAACGTCATCGCCCTAAAAAAACTCCTGCTGGGTAAATGTAACTCTAGGTAGGCAATAGAAAGTCGCTAAAAACAACACCATCTTCATCTTCGTATTGTCATATAGCACTGCGTTTCCCGCCGTGCGCTTCTATCGAAATTCCCCTCCCGGTAATGTAATCAATCTTCAATTCACAATGAATTGGTACAGGGGATCCACGGTGATCGTAGAGCCTACTCCCGCCAGGTCGGAAGGCCCTGGTAAGAAATTGCGGAGGAAGCTCCAGAAGATCGGCGCCCCTCAGCGCTGGTACATGCCCAACGACCACAACGACGCCAAGAAGCCGGGTGCCACTATCGTCAACGCAAACAGCAAAGTGGTTCCAGAAACGCCTGGTCGTGATGATGGTAAATGGCTCGAGCAGCTCCGTAAGAGCGGATCTCTCTGTCGTGGTCAACTACCTGTGCAGCCTGTCGATAAGTCACTGCGACACTCTATGCAAGTCATTCCCGAATTTGCGCATCTCGCTATTGATGACACGAAACCGGGAAGATATCTTGATAGGAGGGCCTCATGCGCCAACCCTCCCTCAGCCTCGTCCGTAACGAGGAGATATGCGAAGACACCCGTCCATCACATAGGGCAATTAGAAGGCTGTTCGAGAAGAGAGCAAACAGCGACTCATAGGGTTTCGGGCGTAGAGGAGATCGCGGAATCCTATAGGGCTTTACTGGAGTCGAGTTGCGCGATATTGAACGACACGAACCAAGTTGAACCGTTACGCCTGGGAGAGTCTTACCGTGCAAGCTTAGACAATCAAGCCGCACGAGAAGATATCACGCAGGACTTTCCCGATGCATTGCTTGTGAGGACATCTCCTCGCTCTGATGATGGGACACTGGTGGCTTCCGAGGTGGATTCGGTCTCCTTTAAACCTTCATTTACACCCGAGCTGCCATCGCCTCGAGAGATTCGTCAACAAGTACCGGCAATCCCGCCGCGAAGACGAGGAACACCTGGGAGCCCCAGCCTGCAGATATGTGTCGACTTACTTGGCCAAGAGCTTTCCTCGGCTGCCAGAGGGTCGGCATTTCGACCAAATGCAGAAACCTCCTCATTGCAAGTCTGGGTTATGATAGAAGCTTATGAGAGGTTACGAGACAAGATTTCGGATATGCGGCTAGACGAAGACCAGCAACGATCGTTGAATACCATGCTTGATACATGGATCAAAGCGTTATACGCAGTCCACGGCAAGATGACGGGGAACGACGGAGACGAAAGTGAGAGTGACTACGGCGACTAGATGGAAGCCGGCTTTGTTTAAGATTTCGTCGGGGTTTATTTATATTTACATCACTTGTAATGATACAGGCCTGGGTCACGGAGGTCCGAGGACAACGGGCGATGATAAAACGGTGTATAGGAAGATCTGATTTTAACCAAACAGCGGTTTTACAGGACGGGTTGGTCATTTGATTTTAGGAGATGGGTAGTGGAAGGGGAGAGAATTTGATGATACCTCTGGGATGACAGAATGGAATGGGCGTGTACAATCATCTTCCGAATGGTTAATGACATTTTGATTATGAAGAAGCTGAACATCTGCTAAGTGCATCTGCTGGGGGCCCTGGGGCCACTGCTAAAGCACTGCTAAGCATTGTTAAGGCAGAGCTAGAACCCCACAGTGACGTTTTCACACTACCTTAAGCATCTTATCTTATCTAAATGCACTTTTCGGATTAGACGCGACTCGACGCGTATATTGAAAGTTTATCATTACATGTAGGCACATTTATTTGAGGTAATCACCGTACAGTCCACCAGTTCGTCGTCAAAACCAACGGATTAAGGGATATCACTCAATTCCAATCCATCAACATCTCCCTGCGGAAGTAGACATGCCCCTCCTATCTAGTAGCCGCCGGCTACAATCCGGTGCCGACCGTAATCGAGGCCGACCGAGCACATCATCCACTCGTACCCAACAAGACAACGGCCCTGTCGAGCTACCAGATTATGAGCCTCTCGCATGCCCCCTAAGTGCCGAAGCTATACGCGCGTTAACCCAATTGTCAACGAGCAAGGATACGCGGAAGTACGAGGAACAACTGAACAAGAGTGTAGAGCTTCTGAGCGCCAGCGTGCGGGATATCAACGACAAATACGAGGAGAGAAAAGAGAGCCTCAAGAACCTTCAGGAAAAGCGAGCCGGACGCGACGAAAAGAATGATCGGGAGAGGGCTGAGGAGAAAGCCGTGTTGGCGCTGAAGAATGACGTACCCGTGTTGACAAACGAATGCAACCTCGCCGTCCAGAGCGTTATCGACTTGAAGATAGAGCTCGAGGACAGTAATCTGGCGCTACGGGGAACGGCGCAGAAGGTCGAGACCGAAGCTACGAATGCGACCCGAAGACAAAGACACCGGGGCGACGACGAGGACGACGAGATGGCAGATGCTAACATCACGAGCCCGATAATGTTACTACAGCGAGCTAAGGAGAGTGCGGCTGAGGAATACGCGTCGAAGACTCCGTACGAGAGATACGGTACAAACAACGATTACGTTGGCTTTAAACGGCTCTGGCATGACGCCATTTACGGGAGAGGTAATAAGCCGTTGCCAGATGCATCTAAATGGTTTTCGCAGAACGGAGGGGAGGACGAGGCGAGCGAAGACGAGGATCTGATTGTTGCCGAGGAACATCTTGACATACATTGCCCCCTGTCCATGGTAATCATGAAGGATCCATATACGAGTGTAAAGTGCAAGCACACGTTCGAGAAAGACTCCATTATCCAGTTTCTCCAAACCCAACGTGGGCGAGCACGATGTCCACAGACAGGCTGTAATAAGGTATGTATATACTCTATACTCTCGCGAATATATTCTCAACACCACGAACAGAGCTAACTTGATTATAGGAAGTGTCAGTTTCTGATTTCCATCCCGACCCGGTCATGTTGCGCAGAATTAAGCGACAATTGGCCTCGCAGCGCGCGAGTATGGCTGAAGATGACGACGACGAGGATGGGGGTGGGGGTGGAGATGAGGGTGAGGGTGAGGGTGAGGGTGAACAGGATGTCGACGCCGAGGGCGATTCGCATATGAGTGCAACTCCTGGCCGCAATGTCAAATCGGAACGAGAGGGTAGGGGCAGAGGACAACAATTAATCGATGACCTTGTACAGTAGAGGACGAATAGGAGGCATAACTCGCTTGTGTATCCTCCATTTGGTGAGATAATGGAGGTCTTACAATATTAGGACGGCATCGTAGTCTTAACGCCTAAGGTAGCTTAAGCTAAGACCAAAACGAGTAGGATTCCCGTCGGCAGTGAATTATGATATTATGATCTATTCTATGATTTCTTTCTGAACGCGTAATGTTCGTCCGTCTGTACGTAGGCGCCAACCTATGCTCTAGTCTATACATATTGATATGTACAGCCCTGACAGTACGCACCACATCTATCCAGCCTGTAAAAGCCCCTTATCTCTATCGTCAGTCTATAACTTCGCGCCCTCCCTCCTCTTACGAGCCTTCTCATTATCCTCCTTCAACGGACGCGCCTCATGGCCTACCTGTCCCGAGCCCTGATCTCCCGGCGCCGTAGCCGCATCGCTCTTCTTCGGCGCGCTCTTATACCCCTCCTCAGCATTCTCCTCGTTGATAACCTTGCCGCTCGCGTCCCGCCTGATACCCAGCTCGAGCAACTTAGCAAACACGGCAGAGAAGTGCTCGAAGAACAAATCCTTATCCGCCGCGTACTTGTCGACCCACGGGCGAAACGCCGGGTCCGACAACAGCGCTATATCCGTCGGCAACATCATCAGCCCTTCATTCTTCTCGCCATTCCCCGCCGCGCTCTCGTCGTCGCCGTCGCCCCCCTCCTCGACGTACACGAACTGCGTAACCCCGCTCGGCAGCGTCGTCTTCTTCCAGTCGTTCGCTAGCAGCAGCTTGTAGTACTGGTTCGAGAAGCGCGTCGGGTTGTTCACCCACTTGCCCTCGAACCCCGAGCGATCTCCGTGGCACCGGCCGAGGTTATGCGCGCCGGACAGCGCGACGATTTCTTGGTCGTCGAAGCCCATCCGGTGGAAGATGAAGCGCAGGTGCTCGGCGCCTTGCGCGCCGTCGGGGAGCCGTCCCCGCGGGGGGATCTTGCTGTCGTCGGTGAAGTCGGTGCGGCCGCCTTGCCAGGGGATTTCTGGCCCGCCCATCTCTTTGATCGCGACGATGGCGGCGAGGGTCCAGAGGTCTGCGTATGTGATCCATGGGAATTTAGCCTTGAGGGGCTCGAGGAATGCGCGTGCGTGTTGGAGGCCGGCGTTGGCTGGGTCGCCGCCTTCCTTCTCGTAGCGCATCCCGGCGCCGTTCGAACCCCCCGTGTTAGTCTTCGCGCAGTACGTGCCTGATGCGTGCCAGGCAAGTCGCACAAGCACGGGGCCCGCGGATCCATCATCGTAGTTAGGCTGGTGCAGGAGCTGGCGCACGGCCGCTTTAACTTCGTCGAGTTGTGCCGTCGTGGGCTGCTGGTTATTGTTATCCTGCGCCATGTCGAGTCCAGCTGGTGGTCTTAAGTGTATCTCTATTATAAGGTAGGTAGGAATATATAAGTCCCTTATGAAATGATTTGTATTGTGACAAGAGTTAAAACGTTGGGACCAAGTAGCGTTAGTTTGTACATAGGACTCGTAATGAGATAACCGGAGAAAAACTAGATGAAGCCATATCTGACTAGCATGAGCATGACGACCTCGAACTCAACAGCCCGAAGCTCGGCGAATCACCCCCGAGGAGCCTCGGCAGCGCCACAGCCAAATTGCGTTAGGCTTGTTTGAGTTAAGTGCTGGTGTTATCATCATTGATCCACTTCTCTCCCTCGTGTCATCGATATTAAAAACGTAAATATTGGTCTCTCATAAGTGGTTCCGGTTTATCTGATGCGCTGGTGTTTATTGTACATAGTAGGTGGAATTTGTTTTACACCCTTGATGCCGTGCTAAGGGATGTAGTGACTTGTAGCAAAGACGACTAGATCGACAGTCTCCAAATAAGACCATAGTCAAGAACACATATATACTCCGATATAAACTTCGTTATGAAAAGTTTGTATATCCCAGAGAACTGAAATGAGTCGAAGTATTCATATGTTCATAGAAATACCAGAACATTAGTATTTATACCCCCTTTATGCACGTAAACGAGCCCTTGGCTTCAACTCCGACCAAGGACCAATATGCTAATAATATATGAGCACACGTATTGGCGTTCCAAGGGGAGATGTCTTTGGAATTATATTCATTAAGTATTCAATGACTATGTCTTTCTAATACTAGTATGGTGAACGACAGTAGAGATGGGGGTATCACGTAGAGAAAAACTAAGAAAGTAGGGATCATGGAAACAACTAGATGCCAACTACGCATTCCATGTACTTCATATCCGACGGGTTATGCTCCTGATAAATGCCTGTTCGATAAAATTAAAAATGAATAGGAAACGGGGTTAGTCTTAGAAATGCCTAAATACTAAGCAGAGTTCGTCGATCGCCTCCATATCATGAAGGCAGCCACAGCTGCGCAAGTTGTCGCCCCGAGAGCAAGATATAAACCTGACCGGTCGGGTGGCGGCTCTTCGCTCTTGGGGAATGCTGTGCTGGGGTTTGTGGCAGCCTCCGCCAAGGCGACGAAGAGCTCGCCAATACTATTCCACGTTACGCTCACATGGACCGGCGTACTCATCATCAAGTTTGACGTATACTGGTCTGGCTGCAACTCGCTTCGCTGGGTTGTTTTGTCCTTGTCCGCTTTCAAGGCCGTATATATAGAGGGTAAATCATCGAGTTGTGGAAACCGCTTTCGAAGGTCAACTATATGTGAAAAGGAGTCTGGATCCGACGAATCGTATGCATAGCAAATCAAGTCGCAAGAATCTAGCCTTGCCTGGTTCTCTAGTATAGCAGGTTCAAGCTCCCCGAGCTCTTCTAGAATAAGATAGCATTGTTTGCCACCCTGAAGCTCTACACTGTTGACAGCTCTTCTAGGCTTGATGGTTGGATGGTACATGCTATAGAATGGCCGGTTGAGGAACGCGTCTAGAAGAGACGATTTGCCAGATTTTGCCGCGCCAATGATGTAGCATAGCACGACGTTCCGTTCAACCCGACCAGGACGTCTTCTTCTCTTACGGGGTTTCGTTACTTTCAAAGCTGAAGTGAGAGATTCCCTAGTATTTTGAGGCTCGAAGCCTAGATACGCGAGATATTCTAAAGTAGTCTTAGGTTCAAGGAACGTCGTCATACTCCACTGAGCAAGCCACCCTTGCAGAGTGATATGTCCAGCTTCGTTGCGGACGGTCGTAGATGGGAACGAGGATTCTATCCAGGAGTTAGGCAAGCCGGGGGTGGGAGCGAACAGAGCATCAAGTTCTTGATCGTTTAAGCCTCCATCATTGTCTTTATCGAAAAGTAAGAAGAGATCCATGAAGAAGCGATAGCCAGCAGGACTCAGCTCGGCGGAGGCGTATTCTGGAACGTCAAGCTTAGGATGAATGAAGCTATCTTCTAAGCTCAAGCTGTCAGTATAATGATATTTCCGTAGAATGACCCATATAGTCTCATGTCGACCTTTCTCGGCATATATCTTGTTGAGTTGCAGGAAGCCCCGCATGTCAACCCCTTTTGAAGTATCCGACCCAGGGACAGTTTTAGCGATGGACAGCTTAATATTATCGAGGTCCTCGTGAGACAGGGGCTTTTCAAAACATTTTCCTTGGAATTCTTGGATTTCATCGTCATTCAAATAACCGTCCTGATCCTTATCGCAGAGATAGAATATCCTCTTCAGAGCTGACATGCAGGCTGGCTTCAGATTACCCTCCTTGTAGTCGAAGAGCGGGGCGATAGGATGTGTAACGGCTTTCTGGCAGAGGAAGAAGGTTTCGTTGACATTCTGATGCTCCCTGGCGCTTGCTCGTATACAGGAATCGATTTCCCTAAACTCGTTCATGACGGGTAGCATCTCGTCTTCGATAACTTGCGGAGTGGTATTATCGGTGAGGTCGGACTTGTTGGCACATAGGACCACAGGGACGTTTACGCCAAGGGACCGAAAATAAGGCATCCAGAAGAGAGCAACCCGCTCATAGCTGTAATGGTCAGAATAGACCAGGAGAATAACATTGGACTTCCGGATCTCCTTGCGCAGAGTAGTGCGGTCTTGCGGACGCGCCGACGTATCAACGATGGTGGTAGTGACATTTTCGGGAGTACCAATACTCGGCGGGATCGTTATCTGGGGTAGAACGGGTTGTATCTTATTGCTCACGAAAACATCCTTAACAAGAGACGCAATGAGACTCGATTTGCCGGTCCCTTCATCTCCGCAGACGCAAACACGTACTATATTGAAACGATACTGTTAATCATCTACAGTTGCGACAGGTGGAATTGGGATTGAGATTGCATACCTATTGCCATACTGGTCAAGAAGCAAGGAATCCAGCAAAATGGAGCTCCGTCGTTATGATGCCATTCGTCACAAAGCTACCCGGAATAATCTGCAATGAGGATCTTGAAGGTGGTTTGGATACTGGAGAGCAAGAACCGGAGCTTAGTAGAGAAGAGTAGAGAATATCCTAGCTTACTACGCAGCAGTCGAGAGGCGTAGTGTTGATTTGTTCTCTGTTTCGCGAACAGGAGAGAAGATTGTTAAAGTGGATTGATCGTATTTGGACCCTATTCGGCACGGATCTATGGAATGAATGGGTTCGAGGAAATCGAGTGGATGCAAATGCTACGTATTTTGGTTCAACTTTTTGAAATGACGATTATCCGATTGATTAGACAGGGTACGTACCTATATAAAGTTATGTACCTTACGTATGTACATGTATGTACAGATCCACGATGTCCTTCAAATGAGGTTATTATGTAAATTATAGCCAAGCCCGTTCGGCTCTTATTGAAGATAGCCGGGTTCAAATTTATTCATTCTGCCAAAAGGTAAAAGACGATTGCTTAAGTTGACAATTGATAGGCATATCCTAGACGAATATCACCTATATAACTTCTTCTATTACAGGAGGGGGATGCAGCCTTGAAAAGAGGTACATATGCCCATGGGCATCTGCAAGTCCCTCCACTAAGACCCGACTTCCGACTCCCGAAGAACGGGTTAAGCACATGTGCACTTGCCGTCGACGACCAATTTGATGCTTCTATTCTGGGCACATACCTACATGTCGTTACTTCTTTTAACTTATGTGCAAAAACACGCGAGTTATGTACCTAGCTAGCACCTGCTCGGGGTAGTTCAAGTTTTACTTCCCCTCATCAAAACCCAAATTCCCCCATGATCCCGAATGCCCAGGCCTGATAAGTACTTCGATTACCCCACATCAACTTCCCGAACGACGCAATACCCCTGCTCAACTTGGATAGCCTGACCCTGAAGCTTCCCAACATGGGAGTTGTTCCTGTCGATTTGAGAATGCGCAACTTCACAGTCTCCTTCGCATACTATAGTATCTTATCCCGCTGCTCTCCAACTTGATTATTAGCAGTAAAATCTTACTTCAATACATCTTCCAGTTTCACATTAGACATGCTCACATAGGCGTTATATATGATTTGGTGTAGCTTACGTCCGTCCTAAGCCGACTCAACGATTACTCCAATCCTACTTCTCGCTTTGGAACAATTCAGCAACAACCTGTCTTACTAGACCTCGCAATTCAAATTATACGAAATACATAGTGCTTCAATACCATACTCGCGTTATTGAGTGATCCCCAATTGGTGTTCGCTAAACCCTCGCCATGTTGTAAGCCTTCCTCGTCCCGTATAGACTACGCTATACTCATCCGCTATTATCGTACTCAGACAGCTAACGAGTTCGTATCTTCTCTCGAAAATAGTGTGCTACCGCCACCGCCTAGGTATCCTACGCAGGCAGCGTATAATGCCGCTGTTGCTGCCGGCCATGCCACGCCCATGATCGAGACGAATAATATCTTATCCAACCCCGAAGACCAATTCATAGCTGGAGAGGGTATGCTAGTTCAAGAAAGATTGTGTATGAAGCCAGCGCTGAGGCTACAATATAGGAACATACGTGCTTAAAGAAGATCTTCTCCTCGCGACACCACCACCCCACCCGTCGGAAGCCCCAGTTGTTAACCCCAACCCGTTAGCGACGACACCACAACCAGCTACAACTGGGACCAAGATCTCTCTCCTCAGTCTAGAATCCCGAACACCACCTCCGGCTCTCTTTAAGCTAACCCCGACAACAACTACACTATCGCCGAGCATCGCCGAACACCCGAGTGAAGGACGCTATTCCAACGACGCGAAGCTAAGTAGTGATGGTGAGGGAAGGGGCACATCTATGAGCGATGGAGGGCCGTCAACATCAGCTACAGCAATTTCGGCGCCAGCGTTCGGCGATGGCAATGCTCTACTCGTGCCGGAGAGGACTAAGGACCCCAATAAGCGACGCAAACCCAAGAACAACATGACTAAGAGTAATTCGTCCTTTATCTCGCGGGTTATCATTAATGAGGCTTTCTCGAAAAAGCTAGCTGACCGGCCAAGCGATGGGTTGTTTGCTTTTGCCAACATCAACCGGGCTTTTCAGTGGCTCGATCTGTCGTCTCCCACGAAGGCCGATTACCTAACTAAGATTTTATTTACAAAAGCGCATTGCCTAAGTCATGATGTTAACCTGGTTACGAAGAATTCGAGCCACATTGATATCATCATGGGCTTCTCAACGGGCGAGATCATATGGTGGGAACCTATATCTCAGCGATATACAAGACTGAATAAGAATGTAAGAGCTTTGGTCTTGTCTGCGGAGAGTTTAATTAATGAATTATAGGGTGTTATCAACAAGACACCGGTCTCTCAAATCCGTTGGATCCCCGGAGCAGAAAATCTATTTCTCGCGGCGCATATGGATGGATCCTTAGTCGTCTATGACAAAGAGAAAGAGGATGCGATTTTTAACCCTGATGAGGAGGAGACCAAGTCTAATGGGGAGATCTCGACTCCTAAAGTTGTGAATCATTACAAAGCGATCAATGTGTTGAAGTCGGTGCATTCCAAAAACCAGAAGAGTAACCCTGTAGCCGTTTGGAAATTGTCGAACCAGCGGATTAACGCCTTCGAATTTTCTCCTGATAACCGCCACCTCGCGGTTGTATCGGAGGATGGCACAATGCGTATCATTGACTATCTCAAGGAAAAGTGGGTGATAAGAACATCAATCCCCCAAAATCTTGATGAAATGATTTGTTAACAACGCTGTAGGCTTCTTGGGCTATATAATTCGTATTATGGCGGGTTTACATGCATATGTTGGTCGCCGGACGGAAAGTATGTCCTGACTGGAGGGCAAGACGACCTGATCTCGATCTGGTGTCCCTCGGAAACGTCACTCATAGCGCGATGTCAAGGTCATCAGTCATGGGTTACATCTGTTGCGTTTGATCCTTGGAGATGTGATGAGCGAAACTATCGCTTTGGCAGTGTTGGTGAAGACTGCCGGTTATGTCTTTGGGATTTTAATGTCGGGATGTTGCACAAACCGAAGGCGGTGCGTCTCTTACCATAAAATGTTACAAGTTAACTTACTGACATTATTGCAGACGGCGAGCCGGCAGCGCGGTTCTATCTCTTCCCGACTCCCCATATTGCAGCGTGCTGAGACTCAAGGCACATCGACTAGTAGGTTACGGTCAGATTCTGTTGTCTCAGGAGTAGACGCGGAGGAAAACACGATTGATCATCCCGTTGAGCCGCGATCAAGAACCGCAATACTTCCACCTGTGTTGACCAAGCTAGCGGACAAGCATCCATTAAGCTGGATAGACTTCACCGAAGAGGCTATTGTGACGAGCTGTAAGACGGGTAAGTGCAGCTACCATAGCGAAACCGATGCCAAACGCATATTGACGGAATTCGATTTAGGTCACATCAGAACTTGGAGTCGACCAGCGGACTCCATAGCTCAAACAGATTTGTGATATAACAAGAGAATATTACTACTGTGGTAGGCTCCGCTTGAAAGCAAAACCTAGCCAATATTTGGCATCTGTATTCGTTTAATCAAACGATTGCGAGTGGCGACTTCGAAGCGGGAACGCGCATTGCTGTTAGTCACAAACGAGCGCGATTTTGTATTATCAGAGGAGAAAGAAAAAAAACTTCAGACTGCATATGGGGCGATGTTACGATAGGAGCCACCAACAGAACGTCAAAATCTGCATCCTGCCGCCTCCCGCTCGGAAGATTCGCCCGGTGGCTTTTCGGTGTAAGTGTGGGACCCCGGCAGTTCTCAAACAGTGAGTGGATAGGAGATAAAGGTAGTCAGGTCAAGTCTACTAACGTACATATGTACGATACGCATGAAATCGGCGGCGAGGTTTGATTCTGGTGAAGAGGAAGGGAAAGGAAAGGAAATGAAAAAAAAGGAGGTCTGTGTTGTGATTGCTACGGTGCAGTACGACTACGAGTCGATACGCGAGAGATCTACAGTGTGACGGGATGACTAGATCCGGAAAGCCGCTGTGCGTATCATCACAGATGTCAGGAATGCATTTTTATATGAGGCTCCTACGCTACGCGCATAACATTCAGTATATTGTATGCAAGGAGCGAGCAACATTTAAAGCATGTGAAAGGCGTTTCGTTTTATTACCAAATCCTCATGTGTCTTCTTATCTTGGTATCTTCGTCACCAGCCAACCAGGTCAGGTTCAGCTAAACTTGCTAGCATAGCATACGTAGCATGTAGTATGTAGCTCGTGCAGGGAGCGGTGGAGATGGTTGGCTAGGGCCTTTGACACGGCGCGCGAGCAGCCCGGGACCGGCACACCTCCTTTCTGCGCGGCGCCCGTGTCTAGACCGCGCCTAAAAGAGCCTCAACAAGGTTTTGCGATCATTCGGCCCTTCAGATCCCAGTCCCGGCAGACCACGAACTAGTGTAGGTAATTATTCTCTACTACTACTGGTAGGGCTAGCAGATGAACCGGAAACACGGCGGCTGAGGTTTAGTCCTGAAAAGGGCAATCCGTCGATAACGGCGAGAAGACCATGTTGCGCACGGATGGATGGCCGGTTGATATGGGCTTGTTTTTATATCTTAGGCCTTGATCGGCTTGATTTTCTAAGGTAGGCTTATAGCGTTTATAGGGGCTTATAGAATAAAAAATCGTATTAAAAAAAATACCTTTATAGCATTTTGCTTATTTAAGCAGTAATTTAAGCGTTAATTTTTTATAAGTTTATAAAAATTGTTATAAACTTTTATAAGTTATATATTACATTAATAAAAGTAATATATTAAGTTTAAAAAAGTTTAACGGACCATTTTTTACCTTTTTAAGCTTTATAAGCCACTTTAAAATAAAATAAGTTAGTAAATTTATTTTATAATAAAAAATAAACGTTTTTAAAGTTATTTTTAAACTTTT